CAAGTGGTGTAACCCTGATATTAGGAAGCCTTCTTAAACAGCAAGACATTGTCTGTTGTAAAACTATCTTACAGCAAAGAAGAAACGGCTCATTTTGCAAAAATTTAACCAAAAGAATAGACATAGATTTTTAACACACAATAAAGAATTTAATATAGTTTTGGTATTTGGTTAAAAAACAAGAGCAGAGGGCAACTTTTAACGTAGAAGCCTTGTGCATCAGATGAAGGATAAAATCTAGGCATTTAAAAATTTGGGTGGAAATACTTTCAACAGCAACTATTATTAATTCTGTCACAAACTTAAAGGAGCCTCTGCCTTTCTTCACTCTAGGTTAGTCTATATAAGACTAGAATATTATTTCTACACAAACTTCCCATATCCTGGGAGGGCTAACTTACATAGCACAATCCACCCTTGAGCATTATTATCCCATAATCTTTTTGCACCTGTAACCTCAAATGTAGGGAATGACAATTTCCCTTTATTTTCTTTACTGGCATGTTCTGAGAATAAATAAATATGTAGAACAAAAAACCAAGCTGATTACTTTACAGTCTTTTACCCAAAGTGTTCTTTTGTGGTTTCTATTTCATTTTCTTACACCTACCATATCAACGGCTGTACTGAATTTCAATCAAATGTATTTTGTGCTGAAAGAAAAACACCTTCTTTTCCAGAGCTTTAAAAAATATATATAAATATCCATGAACATATATTTATTCATAGGTTTATTTATAGTCTTGTTAGTCAATGTATATCTTTTAGAGTTAAGGCAAATAAATGTTTGAATTATTTTCTCTTCTGGTACAAACTCATACTCTGCCCCATGAGAACATCATATTTTCATGTGTTTATAGAAAAGCTGATTAAATGTTTTTTATTAGGAAAAAAATAAGAATATAAAAAGTATTTTAAAGTGAAAAACTTGTATTTAGTGACTTTATCACACTGGAGGAAGAAAAGGTTCAGTTATTAAGTTGGTTAGCAGAGTACTCTAAATCTTCTTGCTTTTTTGAAAACTGTGAAAAACCAGAGGGCCATGGAAGGGATGGATTGTCATTTGGACACTGACAGTGCTGGGTCCTCTGCAGAGGCTTGGGACATGTGTGTCAGCACATATATAGTCAGCAGGTGGGCAGCAGGAGGCATGGGCCCGATGAAATTTGCCAGTCAAGGGCACCTGATTTTGGATTCCTCCCTAAACCAAAACACCACAGGACACGTCCTGCAACCACTTAAATGCTGAAACTTGTCTCTCTTCATAAACTGAAAAGTTGCTTTAAATGTCCACTACTGATGGATTTCAGAACAAACCTGCATTCAGCAGTTTGAGTGTCTGGACTGAGAATCAGGAACTTTGGGGTTTGGTTGCCAGATCCACCAGAGCTTTGCTTTGCAACCTGAAGAATGTCACCAAGTATCTTACTGGTCAGTTCTAAATCTGTTACATGAAAATATTAAACTTTACCTGTAATTTGATATCCAAAAAGCTAACAGAATTGTAAATTTTCCAATGCAAAGTGTTTAGAGAGCTTTAGTGGAAACACAATTTCAAAACACCAACTAGAGCCTTGTATAGTAAGTTTTAGAAACGTTTTCTAAGTATTTCATATCTTTTATCCATATATCCTATCCTTTATTCAAATCTTTTATTATCTTTGCCTCCAATTCCCATACCTGAGTTGTTATACATTTTAAATGCATCCCATAGAATTCACATATAGGTTTAAAAAATCAATATTTGGGTTACTTATGACAAAAATTCTCTTTAAAAGAAGTTTTTGAAAATAAATTACCAATCAAATTAAGCATTTTCAGAGCAAGTGATTTCTTGTCTTAATTGATTTCTTAATGTAACATTTTTGAGCTGCTGCTTAGGAGAGTGGAAAAAAGGCACTGGATTGAGCAGGTCACTTGCGTTCTGTCTAGGCTCCGTTACTACAGAATAGAGTCGGACCATGGCACCCGTGGGTCTCTTTCACCCTACTGTGCTATCATGCTTGGAATGGCAAGACTAGCATCTGCATAGTCCCCTCCTTCAAAGGTTTATTGACATGTCACCCACTAGGAAACCCACTCTTATCTGAGTAAGTGAGATGATACCAATTCATTAAAATAAAGGTCACCAAATGTGATTCACAAAGAGGGGGCAGTTCTCTTGATATTTTGGCCATTTCATCTGTATTGATACAAACATTCTAATCATTGTATACTATGATATCAGAGTCCAAAGAGAGAAGACAAAAATAACTGTTGTCTAAAAGTGCATCAAAAATTTACAAAGGTGGCTTCTAACAACATCAATGTTCTTTAATTCATCATGTGTTGGGTATTTTTAAAGATTTTGAAAGTGAAACCAGTATTTTGGACCACTAAATGTTTCAGATGAAGAACTCAGAAGAAGACCAGCTGGGAAGAAAATGGATTTTAGAATCAGATGAACCTGAGTTTGAATCCTAATTCAGTTATATTTGATCTTGGACAGTTATTTAATTTCTCTGAGGCTCAGTTTACTCATCTGTATAATGGGGACAATAATATCTTCTACTGTGGAAAACTACACAAATTAGAAATACTATAGATAAATCACCTAGCACATATTAGGTACTCAACGATAGCTACAAGCAACATGTTAAGAATAAAATGTGTTTTTCTCCTCATTTTTTACTGGTATGCTAGGAATAGCCAGTAAAACCTACAGGGATAGCTGTGACTGTCATCTGCTGTCTGACTCTGAATGCCCAGACTTGGCATTTATTTGATGGATGGATAAATGTCAGTGTAAATAAATATCTAGGCTAAGCAATTAACAGTGACAGTACGTTCAGTTGACACAGTTCACTACGTATCAAAAAGAAACACAGCATTAGAGACCTCTTCAACATTCAGCTCATCAAGTGCTACATTAATTAGTAAATCTACCCATTTTCATAACCAGCTGCACAGCAGATCTATGTACGTTAATTAGTATTTAATTTTATTGGGTTCAATATTTTAAAAATTCTTACTGACCTAGGTTTTTATCAAGCATATGCTTTCTGTTAGCTTACACATCACTGGTCACATCCATACCATTACCAGATATTTATTCTTGTCCCTTTTAGCTATTTATATGCTAACACTTTTCTTATATTAATAAATATTCAACCTGTGACAATCCCAGCACTGGCAATCCAGATCTGATGTTTTACAGAGATGCATGGAACAAGAAAATACATGTCCAAGACTGTATAAAATAAGTCTAAACTTAACAACCAGATGAAATAAGAATATAAATAAATGTTGGTCTTTTCCATTATAGAAGTATTGAAATACATCATTAATAAAATATATACACTTTGCAATATGAACTTAGACCTGAAACAAAGTAAGTTGAGGTAAGGGGTATCAAAACTTAAAGATATAACACAATGAGGCTAAAAATGTCTCATCTAAATGATTGAAGGTATGCTTAATAAATATGGTACATTTTTAAATAGTGACTGATTTTATGCAACTTTAATCTGCTAAACGAGTTAAGATTAAATTTTCATTTGTGTTGAATTATCTAAAAAGGATTATGAGTCATTGAAAAGTTGGAAGCCCCTTTGGAATAAGTATCCTGTTAAACACATAAAAAATAGTTTCATGAGATTCCTTAGACTAAGAATATCAAGAAGGCACTAATCATTTCAATTATCTTCTCTACCTTATATTCTTTTTAACACAAGAGGCCAATGAACAGTTCTTCATTAAATACTGACATCAAAACATAACACATAACACAAATTGCGGAGGATGGCAGGTGTAAGTAGTGACACCAGGAGGCAAAACACTTGATTTTACTATCAGCAACGAAGACATGTAGGTTATGATGCTTTTCCAGCATGGTGGTATAATGCAGTCTATACATATCTACACAATAGCTTATTTTTAAACACCTTAGCAGTTTTCTAATTTCCAGTAGCAATCTGGTTTTTAAAGCCCACTGTTTTCATATCTGAATAATATTTTTTCTACAATCATCTTTTATTTCCTCTCTGTCATTTCCCACAAATCTTTTAAATCATTAGTGTTGGGTTTGGGTATTCTTTCTAATGTTTTCATGGTCAAATTTTCTGATATTCCAATGAATTTATCTCTTTAGTGCTTCTTTACAGTTTTTTATAACAACTTCTGAGGACTCTATTGCACAAAACACAGTTCTTTCTAATGTGTCTACTTTTAAATAAATTTGTCTCCTTCATTAATAGTGGATGAAGAGATATAATAAATTTGGATTCAAAACCTTAATGTCAATGGTAAAAATAAAGGTTTAGTTCTATAAGAAAATTGTAGAACAATTTCAAGATCAAAAATTCTGGAAATCAGGTTTTCAAGCCTTTTTTTTATTAGAAAACTTAAATTATTACCTTTTTTAAAAGGGAGGAGCCAATATCCATTTTTGAATTTTCTCAAACAATAATAAAGGATAGCAAACTAGAATAAGAAAACACATTAGAAGACAGCTTTCTACTTCATACAACGTCTAGTTACCTTTTCCTATCCATTCACCTATTTCTGGTCAGCAGCAAGAACAAAAAATCCATTTATTTTTGCCTTTTTGGGTTTTCCAAGATGAGCTTCATTTACCTGAATACAAACAAAAGCTTGGGGAAACGGCTTTTGTATTGGCATAAACCAAGTACATGTCTCATGAACCAGGAAACCCTGCCTTCTATGGCTTCTTTTGTAGTTTAGAGTCCAATGGTTATAGAACCAACTGAAAGTCGAACGATATTCAAAATGACACAGATTGACAAGAAATAACGGAAACATGGAAGCCCCTTGGCTGTTATTTTTTTCTAATAGACAAATCCCTAGCATTCTGTAAATAAAATTATAAATACTAAAGAAATGATGAGAATTTCACAATGGGGAAAGGATCATTTCTTATCATAATAAATATCTTTGTACAAATTTTAAAAAACGTAGAAAAGTTTAGTACCTTTGGGTACTTTTTTCTAATAAAACCATACCTGCTTCAGAACTTGTTTGATTATAGCTGCTAACAATGCTGTTTGGTATCACTGGAGTGGAGGACGTTGAAATTCTTGACTGAGGTGGATTGGGATGTAATGAATTTCCTAAAGCCATGCCCGACTGACTGAGCATCCCACAGTTCCCGCTAGCCTGAATCTGATTTATTAAACCTGCAAGATGGTGGTTCGGGACTGGACTGTTACTGTGAACAAAGTTAGTGTTTGCATTGTGGCAGTGCACGGCTTCCCCTCTTAAAGGTATGTTCTGTGTCAGTGAATTCTGAAGAACACTGGAGTTCATATTGGGATCTGTAAAATGCAGCTGGTTAGCAGAGCAAGGCAAAGCAGTATTTGAGCCCCCACAACCCGGGGTACTATTGCTACTCAAGTGAGAGCTTTGACAACTCATAGACTGTAGTAACTGAGACATTGAACTGATGGGAAATGAACCCTGACCCTGCTTCCTTAGCAAGTCAGGTCCAGGTTTAGGAACTGCAGAACTATCCATTTGAGACTGTCTGAGCAAACTCAACACTGTGGTAGGTGGCTGTTTTCTTTTCCGCAATGAGTCTTTTTGCTGAGACATCAGCTTATCTCTTAGTGCTGCTCGACCACTTTGCCCTTCACCTGTTGGGAGAAGCATGTTGGCAGTAGGAGGGAACATGGTGTTTAAAGTGCTATGTCCTTCAGCGTTGCCACTGCCAGCAACAGCTCCAGAATTGCTACTGCTGCTACTGTTGTTACCAGCAAGTTTGTTTTGATTTGCTAGCTGTGCTTTGGCTGCTGCTGAGAGTAAACTACTTGCTGGAAAGGAGGCAGCATTGTGCTGGTTCAAGATCTGATTTAAAGGCATTCCCAGCAAACCAGGCTGACTCTTTACAGAACCACTTCCGGCAGAGGCAGTAGGAAAAGCTGCACTGCTTGGGGTATTTAGTACATTACTCATTCCAGCAATTAATGGGTTAGGGATATCCTTGTACTGATGATGTCCATCGGACTTGGTAGAAGGGCTTGATGGCATTGATGGCCTTGGGGACCCTATTGTTGACCTTGGTGACCTGGGTGGAACCTTAATACCACTACAAGTGGCCTGGGGTCCTAGAGGTGGCATCATGAAATTTCCGTGATCCGATGATGTGGAAGATGAGCGTGATCTTTGGGGAGATGCCTCAATCCTTCCAATTCCAGTCCCCATCATGTGCACTGGGGATGTCACTGGAGAAGGGGACAGGGAAGTTGAAGCTGAATGCTGAACTCTTTGTACATGACTCCCATGATTCATGTGACCAGGTTTTACGGTTGGCAAAGGGAGATTACTTGGCAAAGGAACAACAGCAGGAGGCATGCTTACATTCATCACAGGTACCTGAGAGTGGACATTTGAATGGAAACTAGTCGGATTAATGATAACAGGGTTCTGATTCACTGGTTTACTAGGAATAGGGTCAAGAATGCCAAGTGGATCTTTCTCAGATGTTAATGGCTTTTTCTGAAGAGCACAAGAAGGTGGAGGAGGGGGAGGCGGGCCTTGGGGTGGTTTGTGGTGGAACATTGCTCGTGGTATTTCCATATTAGTTGAAAAATTACACATTGGTTTTTTCATTACTGGACTCTTTGTAGTCAAGGTTGGGGAAAGAGGTATATTAGTCCTTCCAGCCATTGCACAGGATGACTGTACAGGAGAACCATGTAGCATTACTGAAGGTGGAGAAAGAGGAGTCCTACTCAGGTGAATAGGACTAGAATTGGGAGCTCCATGAAAACCAGGATTATTTCTTGTGAAAACATCAGGGCTTCCAAGTGAGTCAGTCCTTGGAGAGATTGAGCCATCTCCATATATCTGGGAACCTGATGATGCTGGGCTGGGCATGCCTCCATGGCTGCCACGGAATGGAGACTTCTGTCCATGTTCACTGCTGCCCAATCTCTGCCGGGGGTAGACAGGGTGGAGTTCTTGTTGCTGGCTTCCAGGCAGTTCTTGTACATACAGCCTTCCCATGGCATTTGATGATCCAATCATTAACTTGAAAGGATTCTTACATTCAGGCATTACAGAATTTGTAATTCCTTCATGAGATTTATTTCTTACGGATCTTGGAGTTGCTGCCCGTGAAGGTACTACTGGAGTTGCATCTGACGTGAAAGAGAAAAAAAAAAATTCTGTTAGTAGTCTCAATTCTTTTGTGTTGGGAGATGGGGAAGGGAAAGAAAGGAGGAAATGAGGAAGGAAGGGCATCTGGAAACAGAAATTTGCAAATAGAAGCTGTGACTCTACGCGATTAAAAAAAAGTTCTGCACTCTACATTGAACGTTGATTTAAAAAATGGACATTATTCTCCCTTGGTTGACCAAAGGCTCTCAATAACTGCTCATTATACTTGTTTGCCTCTTATCTGTTAAGAAAGGATGGGGGAATCTGAAGAATCAGTACATACTGACATTAGCCATTCTAACAATATTTAGAATATGCAATATCAAGATTGACAGCCCAGATGGAAACGGTGATGTTACTATCTTGTTTGATTTGAATTTTTTAAGAATGCAGTAACAACAGAAAATCATAATCTGAGTGGCATAATATTTTCTTGGATGATTTAAATGAATTGCCATTTTCACCAGAAAATCCGTTAGCCTATAAATGTTTCTGTTACGTTACTGAAACTTCTCAGGACAGCTACAGAAACTCTTCTTTATCCCGACATTTTCACTGTGAGAGCAAAAGGGTCTTAATCTTGGGGAATTAGGTGAATGGGATTCTGAATCTTTTATAATGGGAGCCATAACAACCATAAAAATGCAGTGATGTTACAATCATGCATAGCTTCACATCAAGTCTGTAATACTGGAACACTGTAGTTTCTCTGCCCTCAATCAGTCATTATTGTAAAAACAGCTTTAGTCAACCAACTCAGGTAAAAGATTGCAATTCTTCTTTTAGGATAGAATTCCTATGCAAGATTTAGTCAGAGTGCTAAAATCTTCAGTATGGGATTCCGATTGAGTATTCTCTTTTTACAGAGTGCATTGCTCCCTCACTGGCTTTTTGGAATCCCTTCAGTTCTTGTGGAGATCAGACAGAAGAGAGGCAACAAAAGAAAGCTGGCTCATCATACAGAATTTTCACTCTATCATGTCAGAATTCTAGGTTTAAGTTTTTTAGCCCTTAAAGATGTTTAACTATTTTATAAAGTTGTGCCTTCTTAAACAGGGATAGCAAATAAAATTAGTTTCATATGCCAATTCCCATCAACTGCTGGTGGCTGCTTAGAGAACTATGTTGAAAAAAATGCCGAGCTTCAGCTGGGCTCCATGAGAAAATGCCAATGAGTCTATTACAGGTACAGGGGACAAGAGTGGTACCATTCATATTATATATTGGCCATCCATATTCCGAGACTTTGAACATATTAGCAAGTATACTTGGATTCATTTAGAGGTATATTTACTTAAATGGATAATTGCAAATTTAAAATAAACATACTTCTCCTACCTGCTAGGTAGTTTACAGGTTAAATCATATCATAACAATTTCTTTTTTTTTTTTATAATTTTATTTATTTATTTTTCCCCCAAAGCCCCAGTAGATAGTTGTGTGTCATAGCTGCACATCCTTCTAGTTGCTGTATGTGGGACGCGGCCCCAGCATGGCCAGAGAAGTGGCGCGTCGGTGTGAGCCCAGGATCCGAACCCGGGCCGCCAGCAGCGGAGCGCGCGCACTCAACCGCTAAGCCACGGGGCCAGCCCTATCATAACAATTTCTAAGACAGCGGTTTTCAACCTGGGGTACACAGAAGTCTAGGTAAGGTGCATTCAAGAAGTAAGAGAATGCAGTGAACATAGATTTTTCTTGGGAAACATGGGATTTCTGTTTCTAGCATGGTGTAGATTCTTTGATAGAGTGATTTCTGGATATAATATATGAAAAGCTGAGAATTGATATAAGAGAATTACAGCAGATAAACTCAACTGAACTTATTTTCTCATTAAGGAGAGATTTTTAAAGTTTATAACAAAAGAAATAATACATAAAAAATATTGAGGCTATTGTGCTTGGCATATGGTGAGAACACAGTTGTCTGTAATAACATCACTAGCATTATTATAGGATTGACTGTGTCCTCTTGAGTAACAAAACTATTGAGTTGTGTCTTTTCTTGGCTATTTATATAATTATCTACAGTTCATTAAAAATATAGATATTGAGAAGGTGATGTCAGCATCATGGTGGAGTGAGTTGTTCCCTTTGGCTCTCTCCTCTAAATGGACATTCTAGAACTAAATGGACATTCATTAACCAGCAGAAGATTCCCTACACAGCACAACAGGATGTCTGAGAGATTCACACAGCTATGCATCTGAAGGTGGGTGGACTGGATCCCAGAAAGCAGTGGAACTAGGTGAGCACACCCCTCCCCCTCCCTGGCGACAGCAAGCCAGGTCACAGATCCTCACACAGGGGTCAGCGTGACTGTAAGAGGAGGTGGGAGCAGCCTGGCCCATGAGACTCTTTTGGAGTTGTAGCCTGGCCTGCGGCAGTGCCCACTGTGCCACGGCAGCTCTGCCGGTGGGAATGCTATACACCGAGTGGTGGCAGCTCAGCCCCCGTGAAGGTGCCCATCTGCCAAGTGCAGTGCAGACAAGAAGGCACGCCACCTGCAGAGCACAGCAGCCTGTGGGACCCACCAAATAGTGACTCAGCCCTCATGTAGGTGCCTCACCCGCCTAGCACAGCAGCTCAGCCAGTCCCCTGCCAAGTACAGCGGCCCTGCCTGCATGAAAGCGACCTGTCTGCTAAGCACAGAGGCCCCGCCTATGGTGTGCAGCCTGCCCGCCCAGTGCAGAGGCCTTGCCCATGTGAGCACAACCTACAGAGTGGCTGTAGCCAGTCCATGCAAACGCAGGGCAGCCCTACCCGTACAACTTCCAGCAGATGGGGCAGGATCAGAAAACACAGCTCCTGCTCTCTACCAGCGGTGGCAGGTGGAATCTGTGATCTGATACTACCACAAGTGCGCTGGCAAAAGATCAATTCATCAACACCATGAAGAACTACAGAAACACTTCAGAGCAGAATGAAAATGACAAATCTCGAGAAACCAATCACAGAAATTTACAATCTAAATGACAGAGAATTCAAAATAGCTGTCATAAAGAAACTCAATGAGTTACAAGAAAACTCAGAAAGACAGTTCAATGAGCTATGGAATAAAATTAATGAGCAGAAGGAATACTTCACCAAAGAGATTGAAACTCTAAAAAGAAACCAAACAGAAATTCTGGATATGAAGAACACAATTAAATGAGATAAAAAATAATCTAGAAACCATAAAAAATAGAGCTGATGTTATAGAGGACAGAATTAGTGAATTAGAGGACAGAAATATAGAAATGCTTCAGATAGAGGAGGAGAGAGAACTAAGATTTAAAAAAATTGAAGAAATACTTCGAGAAATATATGACTCAATTAGGAAAAGCAATATAAGAATTATAGGTATTTCAGAGTGAGAAGAGGGGGAGAAAGGCACAGAGAGCTTGTTCAAAGAAATAATAGCTGAGAACTTCCAAAACCTAGGGAAGGAACTGGACTTGTAAGTACATGAAGCTAATAGAACTCCTAATTACATCAATGCACAAAGATCTTCTCCAAGGCATATAATATTAAAACTGGCAAAAGTTAATGACAAAGAAAAAATATTAAGGGCAGCAAGGCAGAAAAAAATAACCTACAAAGGAACGCCTATAAGGCTTTCAGTGGATTTCTCAGCAGAAACCTTACAGGCTAGGAGAGAATGGAATGATATACTCAAAATACTGAAAGACAAAAACTTTCAGCCAAAAATACTCTATCCAGGGCCAGCCCTGGTGGCTTAGTGGTTAAGTTTGGAGTGCTCCACTTTGACAGTCTGGGTTCAGTTCCTCGGTGCGGGCCTACACCACTCGTCTATCAGTGGCCATGCTGTGATGGTGGCTCACATGCAAAATAGAGGAAGATTGGCAATAGATGTTAGCTCAGGGTAAATCTTCCTCAGACAAAAAAAAAAAGAATATTCTTTCCAGCAAAATTATCCTTCAGATATGATGGAGAAAGAAAAGCTTTCCCAGATAAACAAAAGCTGAGGGAGTTCATCGCCACTAGACCTCCTTTACAAGAAATGATGAAGAAAGCCCTCCTACTTGTAACAAACAGGCAAAGGTTTACAAAGCTTTGAGCAAGGAGATAAACAGACAGACAAAATCAGAAAATTGCAGCTTCTATCAGAAGAGGTTAGCAAACCTTAATTATAACAAAAAAGATAAAGGGAAGGAAAGCATCAAAAATAACTATAAACACTTCATTTTAATCACAAACTTACAACACAAGAAAGAATAATGTGTGAAAACAATAACCCAACAGGGGAAAAGGAAAGGGGTGGAACCTGCTTAGGTTAATGGAGATAAGAGGTTATCAGAAAATGGACTTTTAATCTACGAGATCTTTTAATCAAACCTCACGGTGCCCACTACACAAAAAATCAGAACACAGCCACAAATCATAAGTAAAGAGAAAACTGAGAAAACCATCACAGAACACCACCAAACTGAAATGGCAGTCAGAAATACAAGGGAAAAGAAACAATGGAAATATAACACACCTGGAAAACAAGAGATAAAATGGCAGTGTTAAGCCCTCATGTATCAATAATCACTCTAAATGTAAATAGATTGAACTTTCCAATCAAAAGACACAGAGTGGCTGGATGGATTAAAAAACATGCCCCAACAATATGCTGCCTTGAGGAAATACATCTCAGCTCTAAAAACAAACACAGGCTCAGAGTGAAGGGACGGAAGATGATACTCCAAGCAAATGGCAAGCAAAAGAAATGAGGTGTTGCCATACTTATATCAGACAAAGTAGACTTCAAGACAAAAAGACAATGAGAGACAAAGAGGAGCAGTATATAAGGATAAAAGGGACATTCCACCAAGAGGAAATAACACTTATGAATATATATGCACCTAACACAGGAGCAGCAAAGTATATACAGCAACTACTAACAGACCTAAGGGGAGAAATTGACAGCAACACAATAATAGTAGGGGACCTCAACAACCCACTTACATCAACAGATAGATCATCCAGACAGAAAGTC